TCCGCAGTCACTGCGCACGGGCCCGCGCCTCGCGTATTACGGCGAACAGAATAATTGCTCGCCTATTGGTGTCAGTCATCTCGGCTACTGCGTGACAACCTTGGAGTTATCCTTCGTCGCATAGCTTTTCTCTCCATTGATACCGACGACGCCGACAGATGTCATCTTATCAAAAAGCGAACTCGGTGTCGGTCTGGATTCGGGAAACTTTGCAACTGCGGCTGCACCGTCCGCACTAATTGGGATCAGCCAGCGATAGTGCCACTAATAAAGCGGGTCAGGCTAACCGTTCTCGCCTCTGCCGTCGCCGATTTCTGCGTCATGCACCCGTACATGCGCCAACAGCTCTCGAGCCAGGTCAGCTCGGAGGTCAAGCCATCAAAATGGACGTCCCGGCTGAGCTCGGCAGGCTTGCTTTGCAATAGTTGCGAACTACGGCGGTTGGCGGGATGTTTCCGAGGCAGGCCTCAGGTGCACAGTCTGGAGACGACTCCCGTTGCGACCTCAGGGCTTCATGCAGAGTCCTGACCACGCGTTCCAAGATGACCCCTGTGGTCTCAGTACGCTCCACATACAGTTAAGTTCAGTGCGTTCCAAGGTGACCACTGAGGCGTCGGCAGGCTCCACTACAGTCTGGACCAGGCGTGCCGCTGTGACCACAGGACGCGCTCCATACAGATCGCAGGCCACGCGCCCCAAGACGGCCGCTGGGACCTCCGCAAACTCCATACAGTTGGAACAGCAGCTGTTCCAGAGGCGGATCCAAAGAGGGGGCGGCACAGGGGTCGTTCCCCTTGAGCCCCGAAAGGGCCAATAGGCTCCAAAGAGGTCCAGAGCTGGCCGAACAGATGCATCTTTTAACACAAAACACAACAAAAATTTTGGCTTACATGCGTCCAAGAACAGTCGCACGCGAAAGTGAATGGCTCACGAATAGACAAAAAGTATCCCTCACTGATCAAGACGGTCGTGACTGGGATATTACAGGACTCATTACGCTGTCCAGAGGCCCTACGCTGTTTCCACGGGGCCGTTACAGCAACTTGCAGGATCAATCCGATCGTTCCGGGATCAATTAGATGGCAGGACTTTGGGCCGTTCCAATTCTCTGCCACTCGCTTAGGGCCCTACACTATTGTCGGGGGCCCATCTTTTAATTTTCTTGGACATATTCGGTCATTTGGGTCCTCCAAATTGGGCCTTGGGTATTTTTGTATTTCAATGGAGTCCTCTACACACTTCTCGGGGCCCGATCCGTTAACTTGCTCGGGCACACTATATTGTTTTGGGGCCCTGCACATTGGGTATTTGAATATAGAGCACTATGCTTCTGTCGGGGGCCATATGATGATCTGCTCGGGTGCAGTCGATCGTTCGAGTCCTCCGTACTGGGACTTGAGTGCTCCTTATTTGAATGGAGGGTCTTGCGCTCTTGTCGGGGGCCTATCTGTTAACCTGCTCTGGCGCACTCGATTGTTCGAGGACCCTATCTATTTTGTCTATTTTGTCTATATTATCAATCTATTTTGTGTCGTGAGTATTTCTTATTTTGATGGATAGCGCTATGCCCCCGTCGGGGGCCCCATCTGTTAACCTGCTCGGGCACACCCGATCGTTCGTGAGTCACCCACGTTGTTTCTGGGGTAGTTCTTATTTGAATGGACGGTCCTATGTCCTTGGCAGAACCCCATCTATTAAGCTGTTCGGGCCGTGGGCGAATGCTGAGGGGGAAGGGGAGGCCCGGGAACATGCCCCCTTGTGTGACGATGAAACCCATATGCTCTGAAGGGGTCAATGACCGGCCGAACGATAATGAACACAAAACAACCGAAAACAAAACAAAACAGAATTGGACGTCTTTGGGCTACAAACGATCACAAACAGTTTCAAGCGAAAGGGAAGGTTCGTTAGCAGACAAAGTTAGTTCTTCGCTGACTGATGAAAAGACGTTGAGTGACGGAAATTTTGGAGCCCATTATGCGGTCCAGAGGCCTTACACTGTTGCCCGGGCCCTTTATGTCCACCTGCCGGGTCAACCGAATAGCTGAGGAGCCTTCCACGTCGCACTTGATATCTTTACATTTTGCCGTATGGCCTCATCGGCTGTTGGGACACTATCTGCTTACATGCCTAGGCACCATCAATGGATCAGATTTTCCTCCATGGATTCTCCCCACTCGCCCGAAAGGCTTTATAAGCTTTTTCCGGCGCCCGATATTCCAGGGCACACTCAGTTGCTCAGGGGTCCTTCACATTGGTGTCGAGTTCTTTCCACTTGCTTTGAGGGCCTTGTACTTTCCTGAGGCTCATATAAGGTATGGTACCGAGCACGCGATGCTCAGCGGCCCTCTACTCTGAACTAGGGCTCTCCTTGTATCTCATTCGCGGGGAATCCCTCACTCCTATCGGGGCTCTTCCTTTTAACTTCCCCGGGCACTCTTGGTCGCACAGGGACATAAGTTCCTTACAGTGGTACTGGGTAGTTTTCCTTTGCTTAGAGGGCCCTGTGCTCCGGCTGGTGTCCTATATGTCAGCCTGCCTGGGCACTACCGATCGTTCAGGGGCCCACCGCGTTGATCTTGGGTGCTCCTCGCTTGCTCTGAGAACCCTACACCTGTTGACGGAAGCTGTTGGCCTCCCGCGGCACCCATGATCACCCAAGTTTCGTCCCTATTGGCCTTGTTGCCTCAGCCTTAGAGCAGCGGTCGAATATGCGCCGATGAATTTTTACGGGCAATTGTCGAAGTAATTTTACGTACCGTCGACATCCTATCTGTCATTTTACTTGGCTATTAAATATGTAACACTTGAATATTTGTGCAACCAATGCATTTTGAATGCTATGATGTTTATGTACCCGATGTACCCGTTTATAGCAAAGCAAAAACTCTGCATTAGTCATCAGCCATCAGCCGATCACATCGGCCAGAAGCGTAGCCATAAAAAGGTAGGAACTATGCTCGTGTTTATTTGGGTGATATTTAGCAGCCAACTTTAGTTTATTTTGGCTGTTCGTTCCGAAGTGCTTAGCCTAAAATGACCGGATTTATCATGATCTGAAGAAAATGAATAAGCTCCATGTATGTGCATACGTAGCAAGGCTGGCGTCTATGGCTACGCGCGGCAAGATGGGTTCCCGTATTTACTGTAAGCTGTATATGCATATATATATATATATATATATACACCATTTATGCCCAAATTAAGTGTTGGGAACACAAGTATTTTTTGAAGGGCTACAGCTCGGGGTCCCTCATTTCGAAAACTTCATTCACCTTGAAGTATCATTTGCCGGCCATGCCACAAGTCCTGGTGGTTAGGGCGTAGGTCTTAGTGCATGAGTGACCGGCGCAGCGTATTCAAAGCAGATGAGCACGTCGATTCGGTTCAAACCTACGACGTCGCATGTGCGGGGAAAGGCGACAGGAGTCTGTATCATAATGTTCACAGTTCATATCCACAAAATAGTTTCACTTGTGTCCACTAGGGTACGGTGCTTGCCCTTATGATTGAGAGAGCAGCGCATAGGACCGCAATGCTATTTCTTGTCGCATGGTATACAGTCGAACACCACTTTTGGTGCTCGGTTTCTGCAATCGGCTGCGCCGGTCGATCAGCAGGTCGTTCGCACCTTTTTCGCTCGCGTCAACCTGCTTGACCTCCTGCGCATGGGAGTAGTGTGGTGTTGCAAGAGGCTGTACTCACCGGTCGGTCATCGGGAACGTTCTTGAGTGCCGGTGGCGTGCGGTAACGAACCGCGAACAGGTTGCGGTTTGTCGCGCGGGTTGGTTGGGGGAAGCGAAACCAGCGCATGGTCAGGCAAGGACGCGTGTTTTGTTTGGTTTCCAACGTAAGTGTTCTGTAATGGTTGTAACACGAATTTTTCAAAACGCCTGTGTAATGAATGTTATATAAAAATGCATGCGTGAAGCTTTATCCCGCGAATTAAACGAGGCGCTGTGATATTGCTTTGGTGTGTCCTCCATGTTTTGGTATGTTATACTAAGGCTTTGACTTCTACCCTATGTTTTGCATTGATGGCGTTTACTAACGTAGCTCTTGACGGGGCACGCCTTGCCTTTCGGAATGGAAGCGTCCCATGGTCTAAAGTGATGCACCGCCTCAAATTTAAACCAACGCGCTTCCCGACAGCAGGACCCGGTGCCGCCCACTGGGCCAAACACAAACGTTCTTTTATCCGCACCCAGTGGTTGTTATGACGAGGGTGGTCGCGACAACTGCTGGTAAGAAGTCTAATGCTGGTACAAAGCGTTGGCAACGTAACTTGGACTCGAAAATAATTAAAATTGCTACCATTCTTATTGTGAGCTGACAGCGCTGCAGTAACACTACTCGGTGCTATTACTAGGCGTAGCTGGTCCTAAAGTGTCACTAGAGTATCTTTTTTGGAAACATGCTTCAAAGGTGAAATAACATGGGCGACGCAAACTCGCCACCAATCGGCGGATAGCCGTGAAGCGTTCACTCCCGCACCCAATCTCGAAAACGACAGGTCGTGGCGACACGAAATTTGCACAGCAAAATTGGGAGTCGGATGAGGAATCGACAATCTCGTTCAAATCGTGCCATTTCACTGCCCACGCGGCGATTAAGACCGGGATAGATGTAATTGTCGGATAATTCATATCTAGCGTTCGTGAGCATGATTCCCGGATAAAATGGCCGCCAACTGCCCCTAAGCCAATATTATTGAAGGCACGATGACGCAATAAAACAATGACGTACCGATAAGCCAATTTACTAAATGGACAGCTTCTGTCCAGTTGAGCAGTTCTTCCACTTCTAGTACACCAGCAGCCATAAGTGAGCTTTTCCACTGTACTTGATGCTTGTTTTAACATCTTCAAACGTGGGACATTCCCCTCGAGCGTTTATTGTAGACACGTCGGCTCTCGCTAGCCTTTGCAATACAGCACTGTTCATGAACAAGAACCAGTTTATTTTCTCCACTCCGTCGGCTTCCAAATGGACACTAAAGCTCCTTGTTTTGCGTCATGGTTTATTTGCAGTCGCCGTCGATACGTGTGGAATGTACAATTACACCATGTTACAATACACAAAATATGAAGATGTGGATAAATGGCGGCCCCCGTCATACAAACTGGAGACCTGTTTCAGTGAAGGCCACGATACCATCCATGCCCGACGGCTGACGGAACTATGCAGTTGTGACAAAACACAGATATCAAGCCAACTTTACTGGTGTAAGCGAAGCAACCGCAAATATGGTCGTAAGCATCTTGCACGTCAGTGGCCAGAAATAAGGCAGGAAAATCCAAACATCGGTTAGATGGTAACCTTACGCCACTGGGCTGAAAGTTCAAAATGACCAAAAATGCTACATATAGTTCCCTCCTGATCTTTATCAAATCGCAGGCGCGTTTGGTCGGAAAATCATCCGGAATCTTGTGGTATTGGCCGCAACAAAATTCAGGCCGTGGTCACGGCAAAGTATCTTACATCGCCATGCCTAGCTACGGCTGTTAGTGTCTGCGGCTATGCATGGCGCATTCGAGACGAACCTGGAGGACAATTTTCAGACCTGCCGGACGCAAAAAGAACACCCGGGTACACCTCTCGACCCAAATATTGCCCCACCGTCAAACAGCACATCATCCCATGACCAAGCGTAATCCGCGACTGGAAATGTCTGCCAGCGAGGTAATATTACGAATGAGGAGGTAGAAAACCAAAGCGGTTTGATTGGTAATGCACATCAGATGTGTGGGGAGGAAACAGCTAATTTTAGGTCCAGGATTAGTGTGTGAATAATACTCTTTTTCGTAACGACCATGGTGTACTTATATGATTGCGTTTTTAGGTGACAAAGGCAGGGCATCGAATCTATTTTCCATATTTCAACCATGTGTTAAACATCAACCGTTGAGCCTGAGGTTACCATCCAAGTTAATTTTCAGAGCTTATTTGCTTTCCGCACTGTCAGTGCAAGGAAGTGTAAGGACAGAAAACATACTTTGCAGTCTTTGACTGTCTTTGCTTCCTGAGAAACGTCGTTGGCTGCAGGTGAATGAAAAATCGGGTTATATACAGTTCACACCAGCACTCCCAACAGAGCTACATCCCCGAACACCAAATCAAATGGTTGAGCGAGCGTCCCGACCGGGATCAGAGATGGCATGCACAGACCCGGACATTGTTAGTTTGAGCGGCCGCCACCAGATGGAACAGGGATCGGCCGGGGTGGTCAGAGGCAGAAGTGGGCGGAGCCCCCGCCGCTTCAGGCACTGGAAATCCACAGCAGCAATGTACGCGCCACACAGCCACTGCGCCACGGAGCGACGCCATATTGTCCAGCACGGAATACCAGCATTCCTCTGCCGCACAAGCAGGGGCCAGCCGACGCTTGTCTTCTGCCACTAACCGCCCTCACCGAGAGACGCTCTCTCTCTCCCACTCATACCAACAATATCAGAGTCCGTGCTTTCCTCCATCGCACTCAACGGCATGGCTACGCATCGTTGTGACCTTATTTGGGCGCCCTGACTTCGACGAGACAGCAGTGTACACTCATAGAAATTCAAGGCACTCCATTTTGTCGATATTAAAAATAGGATAATATCACGATGCATCGGCGACCATCCAGGGGCGCGGCGCCGGCGGGCCGTTGGCACTGGGTGGGGCGAACGGCACGGGCGCGCGGTGTTTAACGATCTCGTACACGCGGCAGGTGAGCGGCCGCACCGCGTTCGCCGGCTGCGGCGTCGGCGGCAGCATCACCGAGCCCGAGCCGACGCTGGCGGCCGTGCCGTCGTCCCCGACGAAGCCCCGGTTTGTGGAAGAAAGCACGGCGCGCCCTCAGACGGACGGCGGCGCGCCCTTCTCGGGGGCGGTGCCGTTGGTCGGCGCCCCGCCGTTGACCGGCGCCACCTCGGCCAGCTCCACCGGCTTGCCATTGCTCTGCGCGGCGCCGGCGGCCGAGGCCGCGGCCACCTCGGCGCGCCGCTTCTGCCGCATGCGCGACAGCAGCACTGCGGCGCCGATCAGCACGAGCACGGCGCCGAGCACGAACGTGACGGCGGTCATGGTGGTGCGCGCCACCTCGGGCGTGTCGGTCGCCTGCTTCACCATCTGGATGCTTTCCGGCGGCAGATGGTCCACGCCCTGCGACACAACACGGAAATGTGGGCACACCTACACATGCAACTGTCTCACTGGGGAGAGGAGCATCGTAATAAGCAGCCGCTATGCTCAAGTTTCCTAGCACTGGCACCCTAATCTGTTCGGTTGGCAGCGTCCAGAGGACGCCACGTCGCCTGGGAGAATGAAGCGCAGAGGACGTTCAATTCATTCCGCCGCTGTCTTCCCTGACCTGCATGTGATCTATTCAATTAAGTAGGCAGGAAGCTCCGAAAAATGACACGGTGGGGACAGAGGGTGGGGAGAACGATTCTGATCCACTCATATCACGCACGTGGGCTTATCATGGATGGCATTTCAGCCTGTTGAAGCAATTTTTACCGCTTTCTAGTTTAATACCACATCGCTTTGGTAATGCAATCAATAACAGCACACCGGACCACATCAGTACGACCAAAAATGTGACAGGACGTTTCATTTCAGATATGTACAGAATCGAAATCACTCAGTTTGGTGCCAGTAGCTTTCTTTGAATTACCAGCCAGTTCCTGTACAGTGGCACTCAAACTCAGCCGGGTTGGGACATAACCTTTCCTCGACATTGGCCCTGTCTACGGGCTTACAGTTTGCCTAACCTGTCACAGTTATCAAGTGATGCACATGATACATATTTATTGATGAACATGAGAACGCCAATGCCATGCAAACGCCGATGTCATCAAACCGTCAGTTATCAAATCGTCCATTCCATGAGGCCGTCAAGTATCAAATTTGGCTACAATGTGCTAAGCTGCTTCGGACCCAAGTATTAACAAACAAAACACCTCATCCCATTGACCTTTTGCCAATGACCTTTGCCGTCGGCGATCTCTGCCGGTAGCTGCCAACCCTGGGACTGGTGCTATTTGTCATCACGCTGGAGCAGCGGTGCCCCCCCCCCCCCCCTGCCATGGATCCACGCCCATGCACCTGAACTATCCGCTGTAAAGCCCTCTGAGAGCAGGCGAAGCCAGTCGCTGTCCACGTACCGCTTCCATCCAGAGGACGGGGAAGAACATGTCGGGGAGGTTCTGTGTGTACAGGACGTCCGGAACCGGGCCGATCTTGAAGTTGATCTGCACGCGGATCTTGGCCTTCATCGATACACCCACGCGCTGAAAATCGGCTGAACATCAGCGGGGCACAGGTAGTAGGTAGTGCCAACCGTACACGGTTCAGACAATCTGGGACAAGAAGCCGGCTTACAAAGTGAAACCACCCGGTATCATTTCAAAAGACATAAACATGCATTTAGACCACAAAATTTTAAGCTTTTCAGGTCGAGTGTTATGTGGTTATTGGGAATTGCCGCTCATCATATAACATCCTACAAAATGACGCTGTTAATCTTCGGCACGCTGCTTAAAATGAAATGGCAGCCAGCTATCGTCATTTGTTGTGACGTATGTCGTTACAATTGTCGGGGCCTCTGAGAAACTTAATCTAAAACCGAGAAACTTCATTTAACTTAGCAACAGCTGGTGCCGCCATTGCGAATCATGCCGCGAGTCATAATTCGCATGTGGATGTTTGTAACATAATATCGAACACACCCTTGGGTTCCACGTACCAAATCTGAAAACGTGCGTGCTTCGAAACATGTGAGCATAAGCGTTGTGCGAGGGGACCCGTCACATGTGAGCCACTGATAACTCAGCAGATCAGCACATGACGCCAATACACTCACCAGCCCACGCTAGGGCTAGCGGTGTGGAGCGAACCGGGGGGTGAGCGGCAGGCAACGGAAACCGGTCTGCTGGTATCCGAGCCCCGAAAAACCCGTCCGACCCAGTTTTCGCCGGCCCCGTAAAGTCAATGGCCCACTAGGCCACTGATGTGCGTTTCGAATTTTAGCCTGCTGAGCTGTCGGCCGTCTGTCTGATGTCTGTCTTTGCTGGCCATTTTCAGCAGCGGCCGAAGCGCCGGTAGGGTCCTATCTAGTGGGCAGGATTGGTCTGTTGCAGTTGTGCGAGCCCGCTCGGTGTGGACCGCGACCACACAAGCGCTGCTTCTCTTACCGGCACAATGTCCACGAAGAACTGGTGCTTCTCTTTACTGGGCGCCAGGCCGTCCACCTTGGCGGGAATGGACGGGTCGGCCAGGTAGAAGTGAGGGAATGATATGAACGTCGGAGATCCTGCAACCGAGGTCACGCGGGGGTAATGTAAATCACGAAATAAGCACCAAACATTGCTGTCCTGAGAAAGCATCCGCGATTTCGGCCACAGCGCGCAGGCGACCTTGACGCGACGGGGACAAGCCACGAACAAAAGCCGGGCATTACGTTTACAATTTCTCCCGCGAGATAGCCTCCAACCGAACCAGTGGCGTGAGCGAAGTGGCCGGTCTCGTAGTCGACCCCTGCCGCCCACCACCCAATCTCCGACGGCCCCCCTCACCCCAGCCAATGGTTGTTGATCGCTCACCGTACTGGCACACTGATATGTTGAAGAGGCCCTTGGGCGCGCAGGGCGGGCCGCCGACGCAAGTAGCACATGTCTCCGGCTTGGTGTCGACGCTGTCG